TTCGGTGAGTTTAATGCGTGCGAGGCGCATGAATCATGCAATTGAGCTCAGCTTACACCGAGGATTTCGTAACGTCAGAGGATAATCCTACGGCGAACAGAGCATGAAGGTAATTTAATTTGACATCAAAATCGAAAATAAATAGAACGGCATGAAACGCGACATTAAAACTAACGATTAAAAATCGTTTTACAGCGGTAAGCCCGTTAATCGGAGCAATCTAATTAATATTATGTACTGAACTGAAGTAAAAAATAGACAAACGCACAAGATAATTGAACTTTGTCTCCCATTTTTGTAAATCCTTCCTACGTTAATATCGTCAATCAATTACTTTACTTTTTAATCTTTGTACTTCTGACTGTAATTTATGTAACTTATTTATTTTGTAACTCACTTATGCACCAACTCTTTACCAAACTGCTTGCCATTTCTTTGTTAGACCACTTGAGAAGGACCACGGTCGTAACGTTGTGAGTTTAAACATAAAAATTTGCCAGACACGGTCAAGCAAACTTCTGAAGTTACAATTGAACTAGATTTGGACTTTTAGACATCTACGTGAAATAATTGTTGACTATACATTGCAGAAAATACATGGTTATTTTTGACAATAATAGGACAAAAAAATTGCGTTCGCAGTTGCATTCGTCGCAGTAAGACGTCATACTGCGACGAATAATTCTTGATTAATAGCTACGGGCTGTAAACGCGTGACCATGTTAAACAATACAATTTTTTCTCGACCAATCAATTTCTATCGTGACGCCGCCGTCTCGTTCGCCGGGCAACACGACGCATTAGTCTCATGTTGCACGCGGGACCGTTGCACCTGCACACGGCAACATTTGCGCGGAAGATACGAGCACCGAGCGCAGCGATCGTTGGTTTTTCTCATGAGTCATCGCGGAACCCCCCATCATATTTTCGAACAACGAGCCGGCGGTGCAAGCGTACACGCGTGTAAGCGCACCCCTCTCTCCCTCCCCAACCTCCCCCGTCCGCCTCATTTTTTTTTCTCGCGTCCACCGCGCGCCGCGTAGCGCACGCGGCGGCGAACGCACCGTGCGCACGAATACGCGCAACAATAGACGTAACACGACGTGGATAGAACGCCACCCTCGCGCCACGCCGACGCAACCTGCGTGCAACTCGGACATTACCGAGCAATGCGGTCGTGGTAGGTCATGTGCGCCGTATTACGTATCCGCGTGTGCGTATACGCGTCGCGTTCCGTATGTATCGTTTCGCACACTTTCCAGACGCGCACACGCACATTCGCGCGCGCGCGCGCGATGCGCTCCGGACACCGCCGTGTGCACCTCCGCGCATTCTCTCGCGATGCACGTGTTGCAGTCGCGTCGCTCGGGCGCTTTCTCCGTCGCGCTTACCATCGTCCCTCCCGCCCTCCGCCGCGCGTTCACCGGTACCTCGTACGTGCGTACATAAGCAAACCTGTTGTTACCGCCTCCTCCCCGACGTTATCTCTCTCACGCATCGGGCGCCGATTTTTATAGGCGAGGTGATTCACGAGGCAAGTTCATCAAGTCTCCCGCCCCGCACCTCCGCGGGCGCATCGCGCGCTTTCACGAGGGATTAGGGGGTGGAGAGGGGAGTGGAGCGCGGGTGTTCCTCCTCTTACTTCTGTCTGTACTTCCTACGTCTGTCGGTGGCGTAAGCGAAGGGTGCTCTCGCGCGATTTCGAGCCTTTCTCACCGCGACGACCGTAAATCGCGGTCTCGCGAAACCAAGCGGGAGAGCTGCCTCGGCTCCGCTACGGAGGACATACTTTAGGTGCATTACACTCCATTCATGCGCACACCGAACGTTATAACTGTATATTTCAGTTCAAGAGATCCAGCAGCTTTACATTACTCTAATGTCTTCCTCGGTAGAAAGAAGGGTTTCTACTCTGGGAAAAAAGAGACAGTTAGCAACCTATTTTACACTGAGAGACCCATTTTGGTGAATGTGTTGAATCAAAAAGATCAGAGTGTTACGAACAATCCAAATAATTCAATTACTAATTGTGAGACCCCAAATTGGTTGCTGTCTTTTTTTCCCCCAGAGTATGTGATAGAGAATTGAGCGAGCGGGAATGCATACGTCGAGAAAAATAGGAATAATCAGATCCTCTCTCAAGTGTTATAAATTACTTCAATTCATCGAATTTAATTCGACACAAAAATTGAACGATTCCTCTGAATCTCTCAATGTTTAGTGTCACGGTACAATTTCTAAGTGCTCTGTCACAAAATGCATTGTAATTGGAAAGAATGTCGATAAAGATTTAAGCAAGTAGATACAACGGTTAACAGTATGGCTATTTTCACTCTCACGCCATAAAATTTATGACCCATGCCTCCTTAAAACATGTCCTGTGATCTTCGCAGTCGAGACTGTTCTCTGATTACGCTGACGTATACTCTTGTGTCCAGTTCTCTATCAGCATCCTCGCGTGCTATATCAGTAACGTTTCCGCATGCGCATGTATGTGTTCAATAATTTGAACGCACTAGAGTCTTGCAGCGCGAATGTATGCTGAGGCAAAGAGACGAGAGAAAATACAGAGAGAGAGGGGGGGGGGAGAACGGGAGAAGGGAGGCTGCATCGTTATCTTTGCGCCTAAATCGAACACGGATGAAATTCCGAGAGTCATACAAATGGATAACACCGCATGGACGTCCGCAGCTTCCTGCACTATCGTCGCTGGCGTTCCGATCAGCGAGGACGATCAGCTGTTACGCGATCCAACCCACCCACACGTCCGCGCGCGCGCGCGAGACAAGATTCTGTCTCTAATATGATCCAACCGCAACCACGCAAATGGGCGTGTAAGAGGTAATCAGGACAGTTCTTCTTTGAAAGGTAGTGCCGACGAACGTTACGCTTCTTGCGATCTTGATACGCTATTGCAGCTGTGGCGGTATTACTGATGACATCATTTGTCCTCGTTGTCACCGAAGCACAAAATGTAATTTTACAAACGACCCGAGAGGAAGGACTAATGCGTGAAGATTACGAAGAGCGTAAACTGACGAATTAAGGCAAAAATAGCCACGTAATATATAGTCTCGCGTCTTCCTATGTTAACTGGCAAACATCAAATTGTTGTATTATGATTTTGTATTAAGTTATAACCAGGCTTGGATATAAGTTATCTTTTTTTGTAAGTCAAGTTAAAGTTAACAGCCTTGAAAGTTTAACTTAGTTAAGATACGAGTTAATCCGTGATACAATTAATTGAATTAGAAGTTAAATTAGTAATAAAAAAAAATTAAAAATTAAATATTTTATTTTTACATAAAATCTCAGAGACCCACGATCACGTAAATTGCATTGAATTTCGCGACTAGCGTTTGGACAATCACTCACTCTACACGGAATACCATTTCAATTGTTAGAACTTGTAGAATATTTTGTAACGCTTTATAAAATGTTGATCAATCGACGACGTCGCGGGAATGCAGCAGTAGAATACAGCGTAATCGTGTGCACAAGTATCAGGACGCGTAACGTGATAAATACCTGACAACTCCTTTTATGGTAATCGTAAAAATAAGATGTAACACCTTGCGGTTGTAACTGTGCGAAAACATGGGCAGCGTTGTTTCATAATGTTTACGATGACGCGAGGCAGTTGGTGCGAATCGAAAAATATGGATTTCTCTACTCCTGTTTTTAATGAGATAATTTATATGCGCGGCGCTGTGTGCGCTGTCGGGGTAGAATTTGAAGCTTTAAACATTATCATAAAGGTATCGAGTCTTGGAGGGACGGAATCAAAATTATAGAGACCAACAACTGTGACCTACTTCTCTCACATTATAGCGGACTCATAAAGTATAACGTCTATATCTCGAGACATTAAAGTAGTTACAACAGAGAGACTTAAAAGAAGATCGCACCTTTTGATAAGAGAATATCGGACTTTCGCTCGCCGTAAATTGCAGTGACAATTTCTTTGAAAAATTCAATTTTTGTCCATCTTTTCTTCACAAACGCTAAAGTACCGATATTAACGCAATAATAATAGAAATTAGATTCTTCGCATAGTTTCACTGGGAAAAATACATATTTCAAACGTGTAAAACCTTGTTAAGGTTTCGTGATTAAGGAAGAACGAGCTGCAAAGTATAAAATGTTGCAAAGTAATAAATGGTTTTCTCTCCTCGCTTCTGTCCCTCTATCTTTCGTACCGCGGCCTTGCACGCAAACCAACTATAAATGAGAGAATCATAATGAAATTAATGTATTATCCTCGCCCGTCCCTAAACCGGCCTGATCCCGATCGAGATCGCTAGTCGAATTTATGAAGCGCCCCACCTTAATTCCTCGAGCAGCGGAACAACAGAAGCAACGGCAGCCAACGGAGGGGCCCATGGTCACCGCGTAATTCACGCGGGGGAAAAATGCGCGCGGCGCGGCGATTCGATCGGCGGGGCATTAAAGGCGAGAGGCGAGCGAAATAAAGAAAAAAAAAAACGTATCCGAGTCAAGAGCGCGCACGAGAGTGAAAAGAATAAGGGCGCCGTTGAGCCCTCCGGTAGCGTATAAGCGCACAGCGAGCATAGAAGGGTCCGTGGCTGGGCGTTCTTTGAGATGGTCGATCGCTCCGCGGCGCGGAATCAATATTGTTGGATTGCTTCGATAACGCCTCGTAAATATAATAAAGCCCTCCAACCCCTCCCCGTGCCCTTGCCCCACGTAGCGTCTCGCGCGCAAGGCAGAGCTGCCCAAGAAGAGATAATGGTCGGAGCCGTGGGCACCCAGTGGGTCGGCCGGAGAGGGGACGCGTTGGTTAGAGGGCCCCACAACCCTCCTTCGTCCTCGTCTCGCCTCTCTCCTTCTCTCCCCCGTCTGTTTCACTCCCTCTCCGTCTGCCTCGCGATCCCTCACCACGACGCGTCGCGGGGCAGACCTGCCGAGCACCAGAAGAGTCGACTCAGTGAGTTTCAGCCCGAGCCGGCGAACGCTTGGCTCTCTCTCCCACGGCGCGCTCGCCCGTATCGTTCGTTCCCCGAGAGAGAGAACGTCCGTGGCGATCCCCCGAACACTCGACGACGGGCTGTGTGTGGTCCCGGGGCCCTTTTCTCTCTCTTTCTCACTCTCTCTCTCTCTCTCTCTCTCTCCCGGCCGGTGTGTTCCGTGCGGCCCGATAACAGGGACGAGGCATCTACGACTGTCGTTCGGGCTCGACAGCTTTTGGAGCGACTCACTCACCCGAATCGACTCCGATTTCGCGGCGCCCAGGCGCCGTCTCGTAAGTCGCGGAGTCGGGTGACCGCGGATGATCGAGGTCGACGTAAGATCCTCGGCGCGCCACTCGAGTTACGAGAGAGCGGGTGCACTCGTCATTCCGATCGGTGCAGGCCGGACCGTCATCTGCCATCGGCGGGTGGGTCTCTCCGAGAGCGCGCGTGGAGACTTCGACGACCGATACGGAGGATGTCACGCTCCGTGGACCACCCCGGCTGCCGCGGCCGTCGCCGTGTCGTCGCGGCGGCGACGACCCTCCCGGCGATCCTGCGGTGAGCGTCGCGTGTGCGTGTATTCCCTCGTTGTGCGGCCGACGTAGAGCGCGACGTGGAACGACGGGCTCGTAGCGCGAAACGACGTGGTCTTTGTGGCGAGATTGACCGGTTTTACTTGGAGTGATGATCGCGGAAGGAAGAGGGTCGCGGTGTTGTTGCTGACTCGATCAGCGTGTGATTTACCCCGAGGAGGATACGGAGCGCGTTTCCTACGAGTGACAGTACGTCGTTTGGTGCGCGCTGCCTCTCCCTCTGTCCGCATTTTAGACGCCCATGGAAATTTGTGCCAATCACGGATTAATGCATGTCGGAAATTGCAGCATGGGGGACATGAGCGTGAGTATTACACGTTGCCTTCCGCTCCGCGTAAAAGCGGATTTACGAGTTTCTCCCGCCGCCGCTCCCATCCGCCGCGAAAATTAATTGCACAATTCCTTCGGATATGATTCACACGTCGGCAGCACCGACGCTCCGCGATACTTTGGTCAGCGCGAGTGCGGCGTCTCTTTAAGTCCCCCATCAAATCGCCCTCTATTCTTTGTTCTCAGACACGATTTAAATATATTTGTTTTATCACTCGTATTCGGACGGTGTGAATGCTTTTTTTTCGTCTTCTATCGTTCAATTTCCAGAGGATCGAACGTTAATTAAAATTCGATATGCACCCTCGAAAACTCAACGACGAAACCGGCCCCGTCGCTGCCGCGCCGAAGATCGCAAAACAACGAATTCAAGTATGAGAAATGAGTTCGTCTACTTGGCCGAAAGTATCCCGAGATGGATCACCGTCGACGCGCCTGACAGCCGGTGTATTAAGGCAGCGACAGACAAATTTCCGCCGGCGGAGCGGCAAAAAACGGCCTTCTCGCGGAGACGAGGATGAATTCGGCCGCTCGCTCTGCACTCCCGGTCGATTAGTCTCGGGAGACGCGGCGGCGGCAGCCGACGATGGGTCCCGGGATCGCCGTCGTCCAGGGCGCCGCGCGTGCACACGCGTGGCACCGCGCGGCACCGCGCGCGAGAGCCGCGTATCCCTCGCGCGTTGTCGGACGGCGCAGGAGCTTATTAGTTCGCATTGGCCGACTCTCACGCGTCTACCGCGCGGGACAATGCGCCCGGGGATTGCACATTGTTGTTTATATTTACGCGTCGCGGCATAAATCTTCGTTTAAGTCGCATTCAGCCGGCGTGCGCTGAGAGCACGGGCGCGCACACATTCGCGCACACCGCCGCGGCTGCGAGCGCGAACGCGCACGGTTCGTCACGGATAACGCGCGGTCTTCATTAAACTTAACTTCTTTGCGTGCCGACCGGCCATTAAGGACGGAGGACCGGCCTACGACTAATTTGTACTGTAAATGAGATCTCGAGGATCGTTACCCGCGTGAAACAACGTCATTCTAACGGTCGGAGCCCGATTCTTACGTGATTATCGCTTTTGGCTGGCGCACGGGTGAATTGCTAAGCACTACTTGACATTTATTTCTATCGTTAGTTCCTCGGCAACTTTGCTTCCGCGATGTGTGCGCGGGTGCGGAATAATTAAGTTTATCAACTTTCATAAAATTTATCCGCTCGCGCACGAGATCGCGCCTCAAGATTGTTTCAGAACTTGATAATCACGTCTAAGCATTAGATTATAAATATTTGTGGAAAATTGACGGTGCATCGCGCGACGCGAAATTAATCTTTTAATCCAACACCGATGCGTCATTTATAATCATTTATCACTTCCAATTAAATATCGGACTGAGCAGTTCGATAACAATTTGAAACAACGGTGCAAGAGTAAACTGATAATTGTCACACAATCCACACAAATCGAGAGGAAAACCGCTGACCAAAATCTTGTACACCGATACCCACTAATGCCCAGTGGGCATTACTGAATCTTATCTTATTTTATCTTATTTATCTTATTTTATCTTCATAAGACCCCAGCAAGGCCTAATGCCCAGACCAATGCTCAAAAATGCCTACACTGATAAAAATCAATGCAAATTTCCAAAGGAATTCTACTTATTTCTTGGTGAATTTGCCTGAATTTTCATGAGTCTTTATATAAAAGCACCGCAATTTTGGCACGCGTCGCTGATCAGACCTGTTGTACTTGCAAAGATTTCGTTACTAACTTACCGGAGAGTAAATAAGCTCCGGCGAAACTAAGACTGTGTTTGATGATTCGAGTGGCTTGATACAACAGACGCGCATATCTACGCTATGTTATCGTACAGCGTGCTATATCCGGCGTAGTAATTCAACGTATTAATGAAGCACAAACACACTTCCGAGCGAGACAATGGCTCTCCTATCGCCGTATCTCCGCGCGGCGAATAATGTTTCCGAGATTAAGACATTATATTTGCGAGATACACTTACATCGCGTGGCATTCTGTGTATGGTAATGACGGCGCGCCGCTTTCGGGATTGTCTATGCGTGCGCGAAAGGGAGACGGGGCTGTGATGACTACCTTCGGGTCCGCGCTCAAGCAATTTTCACCGGCTAACTGACCTACCTGCTTATACGTGCCGCGATCAAGACCGCCCATCCGCGGTGCATTTATACCGCCGTGGCGGCCAAGAAGTACGGGCGTACGTAATATTTTGCCTAGGCACGAGCACCGCGCGGGATATATAGCTATCGGTAAATTATGGCCATTAAATTATGAATATAGCGGCGCGCGCGTTTTACGAGAATTATTTTGCCGTGTAAAGGGGAATTTATTCCCCGCGCGAACATTAATTCTTCGCGCGGGTAATGGCATGGTGAAGTGCCGAGATGCGAACCTTGCGAATCGATCGCGGATCGAAATCGCGCCGTAACGTCAACGGGCGCGCGGTATTTTTCAGCGCGATTGACAGACGCGGTGTCAGCGCGCCGTTAAATCGGCTCGATTTGACCGCGGCTATTGTTAGTGATCAGAAAATATGAGCTGCGAGAAACGCGATTGTAATCGCCTTAAGAGTTTACGATTACGTTAGTTTGTGGCACGTTGGAATGTGACATAAATACATGGCGATTGTAAATTATTGCAACGCCAACAATCCTGCCGTCGATGGCAAAGACGCGAACGCAAACAAATGATTCTTTACAATAATGACGTAAAAATCTGCAGCAACAGCTTTTTCTCCAAAAAGACACGCTCCCAGAAAAAAGATTTAGTTGGGTTAAAGAAATGAGATACGTTGAAATCAATGTCTTTCTGAATCTACTAAATTTTTATTTATGTCTGCTGAAACGTTTGAAGAAATGGATGTGAATTCTCTTAGAAATTCCCGAGGGGAAAACCGCTGACCAAAAAATCTTGTACACCAGTGCCCACTAATGTCCAGTGGGCATTACTTTATCTCATTATCTTATTTATCCTGTGTTATCTTATTTTATCTTGTTTTATCTTATTTTATCTTTATAGTGCCCCAAGAAGACCCAAACTAATGCCCAAAAAATGCATAGTAATGCTCAGTAATGCCGAAAATCTGTACACCGCAATGCCCTCGGCGGTTTTCCCTTCGGAAATTCCAGTCTCGAACGAGTAAAATTTTGGTTAAAGTAAAGAAATCATTTCTTTGAAATTAAACGAAAGTCCAGTAAAGTTAAAATTCAAACAAATTTGTTTCATTTTAAACAACCTTTTTTCTGGGTGTGCAAGTCGCAAGTACATTAGCGAAATTCTATCCGCGATATTAAGCTCGAAAGTGAAGCTACGCGATTTTCAATATTTCTGTAAATGGATGCACTCTCGGAGACCGGCACATTTGACCAGATCTATCAACGCTATGCTTTAAACAGTTAGACGATTCTGCTACAACCGGTTACTCGACTCCATACACCACGTAATCTTCTCGTTTTTCCCGAAGAAAATTGTGGCGTATCGTATGCCTTCGATTACCCGCTGCCTATACAAACACCTGGAGTGTACATACACGAGCCCCTAGGACGATGCCCGAAGATGAAGAGTCTACGGAGGATCTGATGCAAATACATAAATTCTTAGCGTCGCTGTGTACAGATATTACGAATTCGATAATTCCTCGCTTCTCCCTACCTTGGACTAATAAAGCATTGAACAATAGCTTTCAACATAATTGCTCCAAAAATTGCGAATAAAAAGCACAATGCATTTGACAAAACGACACAGACGTTTGCACAAACATGAAAAGAACAGACTTGTTTTCCTGTAACGTCTGTAAATCGAGGAATAAACACTTGTATTACTAAAATATATTCTGAATGTATTTCATTTCTTTCCATCCTGGATTCTAATTCGTTTTTTACGCACACTGTGCCCCTTTCTTCGCAATCGGTGCAGCTTTTTTCTCACCTCCGTGTCTCGCCATTCGGAATTCAGACAGGGAGAAAGAGAGAGAAAGGCCCTCTCGCGTACACACACATACGCGCGCGCGCGATTATCAAAGGGGAGGAGTTGGTGGCGCGAGGAAACAGCGTCAGTGGTCTTCGCGCCAGATAAATCTACGTCGCGATCTGCGTTCAAGAACGTCGTTATCCGCGTGTGTATACGCGCGCGCGCACCTGCAGGCCTCGCATGTGCGTGCCCGGTTGTACGGGAGCGGACTATCGTCCATCGCGATGGAGGTTTCCGAGGGTACGTCGGACTTAACGATCAGAAGAGGCGTATGGACCAGCTGTTACTGATATCACCCTAACTCGAGTTTTGTTTTTCACGGCAAAATGAGCCGACGAATTATGGCAACGTTTATAACGCGAGCCTATTTCGTTGGGGAAAGAGATGGTAGTTTACGGGGAGTCTAGTGATCAATATTAGCTGGTACGTATTTAACTGTTGCAAATGTTATTACACTGAATACAACTTTTATTCGTCGCGTGAAAGGAGTAAAACTAATATTTCGCAACATTGGATATAAATACTGTAGAATACACGGAGAGAATTTTCTTTTCTCAAATTTATCCCGAGGATCGCGTAATCGTCGTACAACGCGGCATTTCTAAGAATTTTATGCGAGTTTTGTGAAATTTTACCATACATTTTACTAGTGAAATGTAAGTAATGTAATGTACATAATATTAGTGTGAAAGAAGTAAAAATAATATTTCACGACATTGTATACAAATAGAATAAACGGAGAGAATTTTCTTTTCGAGGATTTATCCCGAGGGCTGTGACTTATTAACTAGTAAATGTATGATAAAATTTAAAAAAAACTCTTATAAAATTAAGGGAAAAGTTTTTTAAAAAGTCGACCAGACTGGCAAAAAGTGATTTTTATTTAAGTAACAACGTTTCGACCTCTTTATCGGGTCCTTTTCAAGTACAATCTTAGAAATGCCGTGTTGTACCACGATTATACGATCCTCG